ACATTCGTTGTCGTCCCGCTTATTGGGATGTGCCTGTTCTAGTCGGTCAAGTTCAAGTTCCACTTCTGTCTGCATTACTGTTACCAACATGTTCACGCGTACGGGGTGGGTGGTTGGCGGGTGCACTGGTGTGGGTTGCTTCTTCTTTCCTATCGAACATCCTGTCTCCTTATCTCCCCTTCTTTTTTATGTTTGTTACTCTCTTGTAAAAGCTCTAATGATCTGGTGCTCATTATGACCTCATGCAGTTGCGAGCGCCGTAAAACCTCTACTAAAACTAAACTAACACTAAATAGCTTTTTTGGGGGGGGAGGGTTAATTTGTTCTCTCTCTCTCTCTCTCTTTCTCTCTCTCTCTCTCTCTCTCACACACACACACACACACACACACACACACACACACACACACAAGTGTGTGCATGTTACAGGGTTCTGTTTGAGTTTGAGGTAAGGGTGGGGTGGGGTCACAGGATAAGTAAGCTGGGATAGACATTTGTCGTGTTGATGTCGCTAGCTGAGACCGTCACACATTACTACACAAGACACACATTTTTGCTTTTTGTCTGGGTGCACATAGGATCCCCTGGGCGGGCATGTGTGTTTGTGCTGCGCGCGCGCGCGTGTGTGTGTGTGTGTGTGAGAGAGTGTTATTGTAAATGCCTGTGCTCTGTACGTGAGAGGGAGACTTGTGTGTGTGTGTGTGTGTGTGTGTGTGTTTGTAAATGCGTGTGCTCTGTACGTGAGAGGGAGACGTGTGTGTGTGTGTGTGTGTGTGTGTGTGTGTGTGTGTGTGTGTGTGTGTGGCACCTCAGTGATATGTCAACGATTGATCTTTCATCGATCGGACCTGTGATGGAGCAGACGATGATTGATTTTCCCCCCAAAACTCTCTCTCCCCCCCCCTCCCCCCCACCGGTCCAAAATATTGGCCCGTTTGTTTTGGTGAGTGGGCTGAGGGTGTGGCTGGCTGCCTCCCTGAGGCAAAGTGAGTGGTGAGTGGTACTTACTTGTGGCTCCAGCCTCCGAGATTTGGCGGACCCCCGCTTATACGGGGTGCCCACTACGGCTGGATCGGGCTGATCGCCTGAAACTGAAAACAAACACGTTTGTTTTTGAGG